TTCTGCCACCGCCCGCTGTCGGGCTGAGAGCAACCGCAGGGGGCGCCGTTCGCCCTTCCGCCATCCATCTCGACCCCGAAGCTTCGGGCGCCCTTCGTTGCCCACCTGCAAGGCAACCGAAACCCCCCCGCTCAGCTGGGCCGGGGGCGGGGCGGGGAACTCGGGCGCGTCGCTTCCCACCTCCCGGCAGGCAGGAGCAGGCAAGGACTCAGAGAGCGGCCTCTTTGCCGCCCCGGCACCGGGCTATATAGGCGGCGTCCCTAGCACCGCCTCCGGCTCCGGCGCGCCGCCCGCGACTGTTAGGATCGGCCAGTTGGAAGTGGCGGCTGCTGGCCGGCGGGCGGGCGGATCGCTCGCTCCACCGCATGCGGCGGCGGGCAGCGCCCGTGGCAACCGGGGATCGCCCTAGAGATCTCTTTCTTTCTCTCTCTCCCTTTTGGTTGGCGATTGAGAATCTGGCTCCCTTCTCGCTCGATGTTCCCTTTTTTTTCTCCCTTGCTGCGCTCAGGAGGAGGCTTAGGCCTGCCAGGCTGGCGCTTTGAAAACACGGTTGTTCTGGCTTTCCAAGCAAAATCGAGATCAAAAGTCTCCAGTTTGTATTAGCGGGATCCTCTCCTCTGCTCTCACTCTTCTCTCTCCCCTCCCCCCGGACGCTCCATTGGGGGGCTTTCCCTGCCAAGCTTGCCAGAAGGACCCGGCGGGGGCTTTGCGCATCCCTTGCCCTGCCCACGCTCGCCGGGGCGCCCTTGCCCGCGGCGCGCAAATCTGCTCCTGGCCATCCGGGGCCGAGGAAACTCTTCCCCCGTGACCACCAAAACTGCTCTCACTCTTCTCTCTCCCCTCCCCCCGGACGCTCCATTGGGGGGCTTTCCCTGCCAAGCTTGCCAGAAGGACCCGGCGGGGGCTTTGCGCATCCCTTGCCCTGCCCACGCTCGCCGGGGCGCCCTTGCCCGCGGCGCGCAAATCTGCTCCTGGCCATCCGGGGCCGAGGAAACTCTTCCCCCGTGACCACCAAAAACCACCGGAGGCTTTGCGCATCCCTTGCCCTTGGCGCGCAAATCTGCTCCTGGCCATCTGGGGCCGATGAAACTCTTCCCCCGTGACCACCAAAGACCTCCGGAGGGGTGAGTTCCTTCGCCAGATATTGCAACGGATTTTTCTTGCTTGCAAGAGTAAAAGCTTTCCCGATCATTGGAAAGGTAAAATTTGCCCCTTCTGGAGGAGTCTCTGCTTTAACGTGGTGGCGCTAAAACTGAACGTGTTGTAGCATCTTAAAAGGCCAAGGAATGGAGTTACAGCCTTTCTTGCCCAAAGCCTGCTCTTAGTGCAGGATCCAGTTCGTTGCAGAGTGACAGAATGACCGCAGCTGCTTCTGTTTGTTGGATTTTGCGGTTGGTAATCCCACAAAGTAACTTCCTTAAAGTCTGCGACCCTGCATAAATATACTGTACACACCTACAGCTGTACTTACAGAGGGCCCTTGCTCCTTAACCCGTTATTTCGAGGGATGAAATAACCACCGTGTCATGTTATGCAGATGGACGCATGGTTGGGTCAGTTTGCCCATTCATATATATATACAGTATATATGTTGGAGACTCTTTTATGCCATTAATTGTTTATTCAAATCTATTCCTTATTGCTGCTGCTCACAATCCCCAAACTGCATATATATAAAGAACATTTCAAATAATGTTCTTTATATATATGCAGTAAAGTATATTTATATTCTAAGTAGTAAAGTTGAATCAGTTAGCTTTGGGGCTGGTTTCCCTGTATGTTCTTATGCAGTTATTCAAGACTGCATGCTTGAGATCTTGGACTCTCTTATGCCATTAATAGTTTATTCAGATCTACTCCTTATTGCTGCTTCTCACAGTCCCCAAACTGCATCTGTAGTATCACACACACAGAAGTTTTGTATCTCCTTTAAGGTTTGACAGGTTTATTTTAGTATGAACTTTCATGGATTATGGGCCATTCTCCCAAATGCATTGGTTACTGCTGAGCATGGAGACTCTGGAAGAATCATCTACAAGCCAAATCAGGAGGGATAATAATGTTTCAAAAAATACAGACTATAAAATCAGTCCTCACACGGTGTTGCAAGGTATCCTCAGGGACATCTCAGGGGGCAGGCGAGCTGCAGAGTGGTGTATTACTCTCATTCGCATGCACTGTGCATGGCACTATAACACAGTGCACCTGTATTGTGTTTATTAGAATAAAAATTAGAGTTAAGCCTCCAGGAAGAGCAGCCTTCCTGTCTTCCCATTTTCCTCTTTCCCTTTCAAAAGAATCTCTTAAAAGTTGGCAAGTAAAGGATATAGAAGTAAGCATAAAAGGGATTAATCCTGCAATGAAGTAATGAACTAAAGAAAAAACAGCCCACAACAATTAACAATTAACAGCCCCTGCCGTTTGTATTTTGTATTTATGAACCACAAATAGCCAAGTCTGGATCAGGGTTACAGTGGGCTCTGGGCTAACAAACACAGGCTTTCGGGTGCACAACATGCAGTATACAGGTACAGTACTGAGTAACACAAATGGACACTTTTACAAACAAACAAGTTAGAAAAAATGACTGGCATTTGTCAATAGGATAGGACACACAAACACGTAAGATTGGTCCAAAACATTTTGCAGTCTGAGGTCAACTAGTGAAGTTCACTCATTCCTGAGCAGATAACGTTGTGTCTGCCACCACTTTCCAGGCCAACCTACTTTATAGAGTGTGTATTTAAAATGGAGAAGGAATGAGCAAATTCTAGCTTTCCAGATATTGTTTAACTGCAAACCTGTCTCCCCTGTAGCTATGGGTTGTGGGAAGTTACAGTACAACCATACTTGAAGGCCCACAAATTGCCTACACCTGGATAAGGAGCAAGTTCCATTATTTTCAGTAGGAGCTAACCCCAGCTGAATGTGCATAGGATTACATTTGTGCAAGGCAAATGTCGAGCTGCGCAAGGGCTGATGCAAAGCTGTTATGTGGAGGTGGTGCAGCTTGAAGCCTTTATCCAGCACGTGCAAGGGTGGGCTTAGGCCAAGGGGCAGCTGGAGGTGTTGGTGCAGGATAGGGACCCTGCATGCTGCCATCACCTGGTGGACCCGTGCCTTTGTGCAAGGCTCTCCGTGGGTTGTGTTCCAGCAGGTATGAAGAAGAAAAATGGCAAATTTAGCTATCCGGACCTAAGTCTATGATGTGCGGGACTTAATGAACGTTAGTAGATTCTGGAATTCTGCCTCTGGAACGAATCACCTAAAATTCATCTTGTCTCCTCCCTGATGTGTTTCAAAAAGCTTTGAAAACATTCCACAGTAAAAATACTGTGAAAAAGCCTAGAGTACCTCATTGTGCTACAAATCCCAGGAAGGAACCCTGACAGGTGTTGGAATCAATTTGCTAGAACTGTGTGGTGTAGACTTCTCTTTGCTTGACACCATCTCAGATGACTTTCCCATCCCAGCCACTGGCTGCCACTTTGCATTTCTAAGAATCAGAATTGAATTCTTTCTGGTGGAGTAATAACCAAAAATTCACCAGAAAAAATGAGTATGTCTGCAATACAGGATTTCAGCCGTTGAAAACTTCTGTAACTGTCATGGCTTAATCCTGTGGAACTCTGGGAGTTGTAGTTCAGTCTGCTACTTGGCGTCCTTGGCTAGAGACCTTTAGTGCCGTAAGTTCCAAGGACTGCACTAGTGCCCTCTAACAGAGGATGCTGACCCCTTCACCAACGACAAAACCTAGGATCCCATAGGATGGAGCCAAGCCAGTCAGAGATGTATCAAACTGCTACCGTGTTTCCCTGAAAATAAAACAGGGTCTCATATTAATTTTTGCTCCAAAAAACGCTTTAGGGCTTATTTTTCAGAGGATGTTTTATTTTTTTCATGTACAACAATCTACGTTGATTCAAATACAGTCATGGTTGCTGCACAATGGTGGAGGGCGGGGTTTCACTTAACTGGGGCTTATTTTGGAGGTAGGGCTTATGTTACGAGCACCCCGAAAAATTATATTCCACTGCACTGGAATGAAAAACATAGATGAATTGGGATCTTTATGTATATTGGGGTGGGTATAGTTCAGGAGATTCAAGTGTCTGGCATCAGATGTTTGAATCCTCATGGTCCTCATAGAGGGGGTCAGGCAAAGTGTATGTAGCTTGAAGTACAGGCTCAGGTACTAGGGTGAGTTTGGGAAAGCAACGCAATCCCAGAGTATCTCCATAAGGAGGGACTAGTAAATCTATTCTGACTATAATATTTTATATGTAGAAGACCATGGAGAGATCACAGTAAGTTGGAGCTGAGTTGACGACACAAACATTTTGTATATACTTGGGTTATACAACTGCACACAGCATCTTTACAATAATCTGGTCTACATTCTTCAATAATTTTCTCTCTTATTTTACATGCAGTTACTGCAGTAAAGTTGGATTCTATCTTATATATATTCAGTACCTATTAAGAAATATACAGTATTTTAGGCTCTATGTTTGAGCACATCTAAGCAAACATACATGTTCAGCTAAATACAGATTTATGTTGTTATTTAGTCGTTTAGTCGTGTCCGACTCTTCATGACCCCATGGACCAGAGCAGGCCAGGCCCTCCTGTCTTCCACTGCCTCCCAGAATTGGGTCAAATTCATGTTGGTAGCTTCAATGACAATGTCCACCCATCTCATCCTCTGTAGCAAGTGCTTAATGTGAAGGGGAGCAAATTGTCCTCCTATCAGCCTAGATGGAAAGTTACAGTTCCTCATTAAGTTATGTCACCTTACACATATAAACAGAGGTAGTTATGTTGGCCTGTAAGAAAGAAATAAGAACAACATCCACAAGCAGGCAGTACCTTTATTAGGTAAACTTGAAATGCCACAGAAGTGTTGCAAAATTTCATTATAGTAATTACATTGCAGTAATATCTTCCCCCTGTAACCCTGAGTACAGAAGCCATATTCTCCTTCAACACCAACATAATTAACAAGCCATTTGGTGAAAATTAATTATTTGGTGGACAAGTTTTGACTTGCAGTATTTTTGTCTTACTGCAAGGTGCAAGGTCAACTGTAACTTGATATATGTGTAGTGAGTCAGAACGTATTAGCATAATACAGTGTAAAGTTCTGCATTAAGTGGCAGACATTCGAGAATGCACTTCATTTAATTTATGTAAATCAGTTCTGATTACTAGAGATTTGGAGCTAATTCTTGCAGCAGCTGTTATAATTTTTTTAAAAAATTCTGATGTCATTAAAATATTGGCTTGGGGGTTATGCATTTTAATATGAT